CATTAAAACCAAAATTAACTTTAAAAAACCCTGGTTATTCTTATTTTCCATTTTTAAAGTAGTCATAAGAATCCATGTACATTTCATTTAGAGTATGTGCTATGAAATGCTTTTGTTTCAGTTTATTTGGAAAATATGGTTGAGATGTATGGCTCTTTTTTCTTGATGTGTATGTGAGAATTTATAAGAGTAACAAAGATTAATTTATAGTTAAAATGTGTATATTATAGTCAGTGATAACCTTACTAGGTTAAAAAGTGAATGTTCAGGCTCAAATGCCAAAAGTCCAGGAATGGGAAGCTGAGGCTTATGCCTTAACATAGTGGCTTTCAACTGCTGGTCTATGGTCCAGCATTCGTCTGCCAGAATTTCCTGCTGGTCCGTGAAAGAGCCGCTGTCATGTGTATCTTTGTTTGATTTTGTATTGCTCTGCTGTTAATATCATATCTGAATTTGTATTTGCTATAAGCCTAGTGTTGCATTTATATTGATTCTGAATTCTGCTATTGTAGATTTCTGATCAGGTATTCTCGAAAAGAAGCAACAGCAGATTTTGCAGTAGCCTGATTTAAATTACACATCACACTCTAAAAGTGTCAGTTGTATCCAATTGCATTTAATTTCAATATGTTATTCTTTTATTAGCATTTTTATTGCTATGTTTCTGTTTATTTTAGAGAATTTTCTCTTTTTTGGTGCTATATTTAAAAATTAATACACAAAATACTATATTGTGTATATAATACTTTTTATTTTTGCCTCAGTGGTCCCTGAAATAATTTTCCTACTTTTGCTGGTCCCCAATTGTAAAAAAGGTTGAAAACCACTGCCTTAACAGACATGTCCTGTGATTATGTTGGGATGATGCTGAGAAATGTCATAAACTGTGCTTGCTTGGGACCAGCAAAGATCTGCACATTGACCTAGTCCTGAATCGCCTTATGAAGTATCTGAGCCTAACTGATATTTTAACTTATTGTTTTATCTATGTTGTAAGCCGCCCCGAGGCTTCGGCGAATGGGACGGCATAAAAATGTTTTAATAAATAAATAAATGAAATAAATAACTGCATTGTGGTTAAACTGGGATGAAACTTATACAGATCATAGTCTAGATATGTCCAAACTCCAGAGTTGGTTAACAGACTTTCCCCATATGAAGGTGTTCTCTAGCACACTGAACTCCCTGCTTTGCTTTTCTTTGGATAAGCACAACAAATTGTGCTTCCTTTATACAGTCTCTGTAAGATGAACTTTCTTATCCTCAGGTCATTCCATGAGGATGGCAAGAAAATGAAAAACAAGTCATGCTAGGAAGAATGTGCCAGTATAGCCAAAGAATTCTCCAGAACAGCACATAATCCTTTTCCTACAGAGGTTTAGTATGATTCATGCTTTTTAACCAAAGAGTACAATTTCCTGGTAAACAAGGACCTCTGCAATGAGGAAACTGGCATATAACAAAGCACCAAGATGGCTAAGAAAGCTGGAGTTCTAAATAGAATCAGTGTAAGTCCACAGCCCCAGCCTCTTCCCCTCCCTGCCCCGTCATACCCCTTGTTCTCCCCCTTTGATATTGAAAGGCCATAGGCTTATGCCCTAAATGAATTAGAGACCATACATATAAAGATGGAAGAAGCAAGTGTTATACAAATTAGGTGCTCTACAGCAACTTACAACACTGCAGCCCTCCAGATGTTTTGGACTATACCAATTGGTTAAGTTTGTTGGGGTTGTAGTCCAAAAGATATGGAGGTTAGGGGAAACTCTTCTAGGGAAGGATGCTTTCAGTGGCCATGTGCTATTTCTGGTTTCAGAGGTGGTATGCCAGTTGCTAAGGAGCTTGAGCAGGTGCAACTCCTGTACTCATCCTGCTTGAGGGATCCTATGGACAGCTGGTTTGCCACCAGGTGAATGGAGTGCTGGACAGGATGGGCCCTTGATCTGATCCAGGATGGCTTTTCTGTATGTTTTTATGTTCTGCTTCCTCCTGTTACCAACAGCTCCAGTTGAAGGTTTCAGGGGCACAGGAAGCAGTAGCCCTTCCACTTGCTTTAGCTTCAACTCCAAGACCTGCTGAACTTTGCAACCAAGAATGTAGTACCTAAATTTGCATTTTTCCCTCCTTCTCCTTCACAATTCCCCTTTCCTTTTGTGTCTTGTCTTTTGTATTGTAAGATTGTAGAAAGAGGCTGTTTCTTAATGTAGTAAGATGCCCTGAGAACATTTTTTTTCTCCAAAGGGTAGGACAAAAACATCACAAATAAATATTCATATATGGGATGGCATGACTTTTCTTTGGGTTGTTCTGAGAAAAATAATCAACACAATCTTTTAGTCTCTGTAAATCATGCTGATATTATCTTGATAATCTGGGGAACTCAACCGCAGATTGAGTTAATATTTGACAACAGTGATCAAATGTTGGCCTAAACTAGAACAACACAATATGGCTCATGTTCTTCATATTGGATAAGGTTCTGTGCAACTGGAAAAGGGTAAAAGTCCTGTGACCGGCCATGATGATATTAATAGCACAACAAGGGGAAAGTGTGATGTACCATTGTTGTAGATTCAATTATATTTGCCCGCTACTGTCCAGTTGTGAAACTCCTTTCTTGGAGGAGGTAGTGAAGAAGGTCATTGTGGGCAACTACAAGCACACTTGGAGGATACTAATTACCTAGACTCATTGCACTGGGATTTCAGTCTGGTTATAGGACTGAATCAGCCCAGGGCATCCTCATGAATGATCTTTATTGAAGGAGGGATGGGGTAGAATGATTCTGCCCAGTTTGCTCAATTTTTCATTGACTTTTGATCCCATTGACCACGGTCCCCTCCTGGACGAGTTTAGATATTTGAAGGCACCATGTTGCAGTGTCTCTAGTCCTACCTTAAAGGGATTGACACCAGGAGACTATTCCTCATCTCCTTGGCAATTGACTTATGGGATTCTGCAGGCTACCATCTTGTCCCCATTGTTGTAAAACATTGATATTGAACTTTTTTGCTGTTATTGTTCTCCACTGAGAAATTTGCCTGCTCTAGATAGTGGGTAAAACTAGAAATAAATATCAGATTCTTTGTTCTCCTAGCCCAGTACTGCTTGCTGTGACAGATAATGACTCCCCAGTGTCTCATGTAGTGATGGCAGATGCTGTGACTTGGATCCCCTGAAACAGGCCCAGGATAGTCCCAAGGAAGAAGGTCTTCCTTCTAGACCACCAAGAATGCTCCACCCCTAACCAACCAATTGGACCCCACTTGGTTGTAATCTTCCCCCTGCCCATGTTGGCCACAGAAAACTTCTTAGTGCAGCCCCACCAAGCCTCACAGACCCTTGGTGGGTGGAGCTGAAGGCAGAAGGGAGTAGGTTCAAAGGCAAAAAAAGGGCAGGGCCAAAATACCAACCATAAGAAATATCTGTATATTTCAATGTAAAGCTTTGGATCTCTTTAGGAGAGGCATTTCCCATTGAGAATGGGTAAAAAGCTGTTCAAAATCTGGGGAACCCACCAGACAATTGGAGGCTGAGGGGAAAGAGGTGGGGCCAGGGGAAGTCCATACGATTATTTATTTATTTATTTATTAAAACATTTTTAATCCTTTGGGGAACACCTGGATGACCAGATTAGAACCCCAGAGAGGTCAGATTTGTCCTGAGCTTCAACACCCTGCTTTAACTGGAGATGGCACAGTTGATTCGAAGTGTCCTGCATCCAAAGTAGGTCCTTCTCTGCTGAGCAGTATACTTCCTTTTAAGCCGTCATAAATATAACCAGTGCAAGGATATTTAAGGATGGAGCTAGGTTTCTCCCCATTCATATCTCAGTAAAGGTAAAGCACCCATCCAGCAAAAGTCTTTAGCACTCATGATGACCAAAAGTGGCTAACTTGCCCACCACCATGCCCTTTTCGTGGAGATGAACGGCCAAATTAAAATGAGCATGTGTGTATGCTTGTATATTTGCCTGAGCCTGGTAGGTGTGGCCTTGCAGAGGAGGAACAGTTTAATGGAGTGCCTAATCGGTAGGAAAGGATCTGCGTAAGTTGGAAGGTAAGAGCCTGGGGGCTCAGAGAGCTGGCTTATTTCCAAAGTTAGAAGGTCTCTGAGATAAGCCAAGTTGTTTCCTGGCTTAGGGAAAGGGAGTAGTCAGCATATTTCCTAATTCAGATTGCATGGGAAATAACCTAAGCTGCTTCCTGATTTTTGGGGTGGTGGTGGAGGAAGAGGAGGAGGAGAAGTAGTGTTTTCATTCCTGAGCCAAGCCCATGTGAGTGAGGCAAGCGTTCATCACTAATTCAGCCACCACATTGAACCATAGTTAAAAGGCACATGTTGACTAGAACAGGGACAAGTAACTTGTGACCTTCTAGATGCTCTGGGCTACAACTCCCATCACCATTAGCTATGCTGATTCAGGGAGATGGGAATTGTAGGCCAAAATGTCAAGAGCGCAAGTGGCCCACTCCTGGGTTAAAAACGCAGTGAAAGCATACACAGGATTTTTAGCTAATGCAGAATGAAGGACACATGTGGGGGAATCTGAATGATGGGATAGACTATGGCTGCTTCCCTAATTGCATAAAGATTTGGCTGTAGGACCCACCAGCATCAAATTAGAATTGTTTCTGAGAAAACATGATTAGATTGGAATGTAAAATTATTGGTCACTGGCAGCTTGGGTGAGATATGTCATGCTTCATTTCCTTTTGCTTCTTGCTTCCTGAATTCTAGTCTGATATGTTGTTTGAACAGAACCATAGGCTCTGGAATTGGTCCAATGACAACTGCTTCAGGCGAACAACTGATTCTGTCCATAGTTCATTGCTGAAATGGCTAGAATCATGTGCTAACTTCTTCATCATCTTGTGAAGATGTCCGTTCAAGATAGACAAATATTAAATTACTGAAAGTTTTGTATCTGAGTGAAAGGGCTTTATTTTGAAATTTCACTTTCATTTCTTCTTTTCTTCCCCCGCCCAACTTTAAATGAGGTCAAAGACTTTGGAATTTCTTCAGCATATAAACAACAAAAATATCACTTTGTCATTCTTGTTGGAGGTTTGGGCAACAGAGCAAGAAGACCTTTCAAAGGGGCACAGTAAGTAAGTAATTGAGCTGCCTTGTTTAGAGACTTGTGCAGGCAAACAGACCATTAGGGTAAAGATGAATGGGACAGGTAGAACCTTTGATTGCATTTCAAGGCAAAACTACTGCTTTGGTTGAAGTCACAATACGGGGGATGTGTATGATTGATAATGTTTAGGTCCTCTGGAAGGGAGACATGTGCAGTGGGGAAGAGTCATCTATGGTTGCGATCCAAATCATGCATACTTGGAAGCAAACCCTACTGCCATCAATTATATTTACCTGGGACTAAAAGTGAAGACTGTTTGCCAAGGACCAGGCTTGCTGGGATGATCTGTTGCTGGATGTTGGGTGTGCCATAGCTTGGTTTGTTTTCAGGGTCCAGGGACCTCATAGGTTCTGAGGAGTTCCTTCTATCATCACAGCTCTGAAATTCTATGGGAAGCCATTAGCAAGAAGAAATCTTTGTACATCTGATTATTTTTTGCTTTTGTACATCTGAATATTGTTAGAGTGATGCGCAATCCTGGGAAATGAACAACTATTCTGAATTGAATGCTCCTACCAGAAATGGGACTATTGAACTTAAAGTGGCCAGGTAGATCTGGCCATTCCTATCCTGTAACCAGGTGAAGATCTGTTATAAGAAGGGCTTTTTTTTGTCATAGAATGCACCGGAACAGCGTTCCGGCACCTTTTTCTCAATGGATTTTACGAAGTGATTTTGGCATAGCAGATCAGCAGCAAACATCATTAACATAGTGCCTGCAGACTGCTATTGTATCTGCTGATCGTGAGAGATAGCTGCTCCGGACTGCTCCGCTGCTCGGCTTGGGATTGGTGTGTGTGCTTACTGCCGGCAGCGGGCAGCGAGTTCCGGCACCTTTTTTTTTTTTTTTTTACAAAAAAAGCACTGGTTATAAGGTATGCTTAACAAACACCAACCAGCACCCTGTTCCTCATGCACAACAGAGCAACTCTAGGTTGTGTTGTCTCTCTATCTGATGCGTCCACTACCAATATGTTCAGTGCAGGAAGTGTCAGCAAAAAATTGAAGTGCCCCAGCAGAATTTGTGTTAAGGTTAGTACAAGTTATACAGAGAAGGTTGAGTCCTGCTGATAGAACTGAAGCAGAGATCACTGTATTGGAAGGATTAGATTTTGATCTGGAATCAAAAGGCTGAAATATATACACATGCTCAATCTAACTGATGTACATCTAATTTGATGGTACCCTCTTAGCATCAGTTGCCTTCTGTCATATGGCCATTAGAGTCATCTACAACAGAACATCAATGTGAAGAAGAATGGGAAAAGACATAAAATCTTGGCACAGTAGAAGTCTGGTGTATTTTAAAGCATATAGTATTCTGAGAGTAAAACTAGTAAAAAGGAAAAAAATGAGGCGGGGAAGCAATTTTTTTCCTGTGTTGCAAGATTTCAACTTTTCATGTTCATAGAAAATGCAAAACATGAGTCTGTGAGTGGGAGTAAGATTTAACTGCAAGTGGGAGAGATTTAGCCAAGAAAGCAATTTCCAGCACATGGCTGATGATGAGAAAGAGTGGGAGGGAAGACAACCTGCGAATCTTGAATCTTTGTTTTCTGGGTTTTCTTGTTTTCTAATCCTCCTTGCTTTGTAGTAGACTTGAATACCCTATTTTACAAGATAGTGGAAAATGTGGTGGCATATTCATTTAACAAGCTAGTTTAGGGTTTCCCAAGCAATTTAGTCCTCTGCACCCTCACCCTGCCACTGCCCAATAAAGACATAGTTTAGTTATTAAATTGTGGGTCAAAGGGAAGTATATATAACTGCACTAAATATGTTTGTATCTGGGAAAATGTGATCTCTGCAGCTTGTATGTCCATGCCTATTTCTGAACTTTCTGCAATGAAATTCTGTAAAAGCCCTGCTAGATAGTGCCTGTAACAACTTTTGCAACTGTAGCAACAACTAAGTGTGACTTCCTTGTTTATGTGTTTATGCAATTTTTCAAATTGTTATTCTTTAAATGTTATTTGCAAATGCATTTCCAAGTTCCAAATGTACTTGGAACACTGGATCACTTCCAGTGCATTGACTTTAATTTGGAAATCTAATTGGCTGTAAATTGAATTTTTCTTTTTATCCCAGGATCTGTCACTACTAGAACCCTAATTCATTTTTCAGGATTCGCTGCGTACCATCAATGCAGGTAATTTTAAAATCTCCTTTAATCTCCTTACTCTGCATTGCTAGAACCAATGACATCAAATAGGACACATATCAGACATTGACTTGCAGTCATCCTTCAAATATCCTGGACCTTGAAGACCACACTTTGCAAGGGATTGACTTTCAAGAAGGTTTATTCTTCATCTCCTTCTGTTGAGGGTAGGAGGGTGATTTCTCATGCTATCATGACAATCTTAGATGTTGCTACTGCAGTTCATGGTACGGCTGTATCTGCTGCTTTTCTCCGGATATCCATCTGAAGGAAAAAAATGAAGTTAACAGTTAGAATATTCAGCAGGGGTTTGGGGAAGAGGAGATAAATTGGTCAGACACCAAGCAAAATGCTCAAGTTTGTTTGTTGTCCAGTTTATTCATATTTTTGTGTTATGGAATTGGTTCACAGTCATAGGCTTATTATCCTAGAACACCTTTTCTTAGCATTGCCTTCTCAAATGTTTTGGGCTACAACTCCCTCAACACCCAGGTCAATGGTCAGGCATGGTTGGAGTCGTAGTCTAACAATCACTCTGGACCAGGGTCAGTACTTTCCCAGACAACAAATTGCAGGGACGTAGGAAATGCAGAAATTGCAAAAGATAAGTAGACAGAAGGATAACACATTTCACTGAGGGTATTTCTTTGCTTGCCCAATTTATACCCTGCATCTGCAATGTAAACATGTGTTCCCAGAGCAGCAAAGTACTAAGGAACAAAAGTGTAATATAGTAACAACAAGAATCTAAGGCATCCAAAGTAACAATTAACCAATAAAATAAAATAAAAAATAAAATAAAATAGGCATTAGTCCATTCAAAGAGTTAACTAAATGAAATTCCTCTGAGTCAACCATTTTGGATCTGTGAGGAACCTGGCACTTTATTGCAGGCTTCACCACAAATTGGCTGCTATGGCAGGTATGGCTTGTCACAAAGGATAAGTAGCTTATCCTAAAGGCCAATTTCACAGCTGAGGTCTGGTCCATGCCCTAACTCATCAAACAATCCTTTAGAACTCTTCATCACCAACATAATGAAGTCCATTTGCCAATTCAAATGTGGGAAGGGCACTCAGCTTGGTGAGCACCAAAAAGATGCCTGGAGCCTGTGCTTACACTGAGGATTACTCCTGCTCTAAGTTCAAATGATAACATTAACAGTTCATAAAAGCCTAGGAAGATGGAAGTTTTTTTTTTCCTGGGACTTATAGCATCAAGGACTCCGTGTGGGCTTTCTTGTGATGGCATTCCAAACCCACCACTGAAGTCACCAGTGAACATCTGTCTCTCTGGTCCCCACCTGCTGTGCTTTGGGGGCTTCCAGAGATGTTGATCTCAGTGGATGGTCAGACCTGCTACAGATAAAATCCCCGGGTGTCTGCAGTACACATGCTGTAGCTGAATATTCTTCCTAAACATTCTAACAGGTCTTTTCAAGAGGTTTTGCTGCCTAAAACTTGTTAGCAACTAGTGCCCTTGTTCCACTGATCAAGGCACATCATACCCATGTCCACTCAAAGCAGGAATCCCACAAGCAGATCTCTTTCTTCTTGCCAGGAAAAATGCAACAACAACAGTGAACACCTTTGTTGCCTTTTCTTGATGCTCAGTGTTAGTTGCCCTGGGCAAATGACTCAACCTGCCTAACAGGAAGGCTGTCCCTGAACCATTTAAAGCTGTGATATTTGCCTCTTTCTCTTCAGGGATCCATACCCTCCTTGCCCCTGCATTGCCAAATTTGGTGGCAGGGTGGCAGAATCCCCACTGGGAGCAAGTGTTTGTTGCCCACAGAGCCTTGGAAAGGCCACAATTAGCTTGTTTACAAACAAAATCTGACCACTTTGAGGTTTAGTAAGAATCTTCCATTGAATTTAGGTGGCAAAGCAATGACATTTGTTTCCTGCTGTGCCAGGCATGTGGACCGCTGGGGGAACAGGGACAAAACATTGTTCCCCACCAGACTTTTCAAAAGTAGCTTGCTTCCCATTTAAAGCATCACAAAGGAGCATGTTATAGGGGTTTTTTGAACACACAAGAGGCACTTTTAGGGACAGAAGGATCTAAGAGGGATAAGACACATCTCGGCAGCAGAGTGTTACTGGAATAGACATACATGCACATATATTTAATTTTCATTTCAGGATCTCATGAAGATGATGAGTGCTGTTTTAGCACTCCTTGCCCTCTTCTTCATCATGCAAACCTCTGGCTCCCATGTTACCATTCATTATACAAGCTCTGGAGGGATCTGTGGTGATATGTGTGGCTATCATGGCTATGGCTACACCTGGTGCAGGCAGAGTGGTGGCAATGGGAATGACTGGGACTACTGCTCCCTAGAAGAAGGCCTGGATGCTTCGGGAGCAAACTGTGCCTCATCCTGTGATGTCTGGGGTGGCTCCTACCGCTACTGCTACTTGAAAAATGGAGGATGGCATTACTGTGGACTGGTAGGCCAGCAGGAAGCCCTTGAATATTCCCAGGAAAACCACAGGTGCCTCACAAGTTGCCAAACATCTAACGGATCTTTCCAGTGCAAGACAGCCCATGGCACTGAGCGCTGCTCCCCGTTCCGTGATGTTACCCCCACAGGCTTGCCCTGCAACAGTAACTACCGTTGTGCCAAGTATGGGCACAGTGTGTATCGATGCCATTTGGATGAGAGCGACGCTGGGTGGGACCACTGTGGGCGGAAGAGCCTGGACAGGTGTGTATGGGTCCACACCAAAAGCAATTCTTCCCAGGTAGAGTACTGCACACTTTTCAAGTCCCAAATGGAAGGCAAGGTGATCTTCCGCAGGGAAAGGCAAGACAATATGCTTTCTCCTACCAAGGCACAATTCCAAAGGGCTGTCCGGCTTATTGATCAAATCGACTCTGTCAGAAGTCTCCCCATGTCCGGGGATCAAGCAGAGATACGTCTCTACAAGCAGGAAGACATCTCCTGCAAGGGCATCAATTACACCAATGTGGAACTGCAGATCATCAGTACAACTGCTGAGCCCATTGCTCATGTCATCTTCCCAGAGTCACTGACCACCGTTCATACCTTGCGCTTAGCGTTTTACACTAGTCTCCATAGCGCCTTTTATTCACCTGCCTATAGCATTGCGGTGTCCACTGATGAGCCAATGCTATGCTCCATGGATCATCAGTGACTCACCCAGCTAGCTTGCTTGTACGTATCTTAGCAATCTGTTTCTCAGAGTCGCTGCTTTGACCTGCTAGCACCAGTGCATGCATTTGTGGGCACTGTCATCTGCCCTTATTGCAATATTGCTAAAGTCTGCAGTTGCTTGCATTAGTCCAACTCTAGCTGCCTTTTAGCAACAATCCTGTACTTAGAGAATTCATGCTGGGTATCACTGGAAACCATATGTAGGCTCAGAAAAGGCTGAACATGCAAAATGCACTTGTTTCATGCCCGTGTTTCTCCCTCACCCCTGCTTTTTGGTCTCATTGTAGCATCCAGTAATACAAGCACAGCACTTATGAAATTAACAATAAAGTCTGTGATTGAAACAAGATGATTGAGATCTGAATGGAAATTTATTTTTGAAAGCCCTTTAGTTTTATATATGAGAACAAGAGTGAGATAATGAAGGAGAAAACCAAACTTTCCATGCTCTCTGGGATTTTTCTAAAACAACTTTCTCTCCCACCTGATAAGTTCCTGCTGCTACTTTACAATGCCAATCAATGGTGCATTTATGAATTGTACACAAAAGAGATTCACCCACCCTGAAGTGTAAACCAGGCTGGGATTTGCCTCCTAGCATAGTGGCTCTTAGAACAACACAAATGGCCCAAAGGGAACCGTGAAATGTATGAGCCTTTACCTGGGAGAGAGGGAACAGCTCTTAGCAGTGCTTTCTGTTGTTACAAAGCAGTCTATTGTTACAGTAGTGCATGATGTGCAAGAATGACCCTTGGTTCAGTACAAGGAAAACATGGATGAAAAAATCTATCGGAGGGCAGGTCCATTTTACTTCCATAAAACTGTGGGGGGGGGGGGGGGGGGGGAGATGGGCAGGGAGAGGCGACTCCTCCAGGTGTTGACGGGTGTTTGAAGTAAACAGCACAGGCTGCTACTGGGCATCACAGGTGTGAGGTGTCCTTTTGAGAGTCCTGGGTAAGACATCCTCCTTGGGGCCCCTCCCTCAGTGAATCTCCCTTCGCACCAGTCGTGTCCACTGCTGCTGCTGCTTGTCCTCTTTCTCATAATGGCTCCCACTTTCTTGCTGGACAGGCAGAATCAAGTAGGCAGTGGCATATGCTGCTACTCCTCATCCACACCACTGCCTGGGCCAACCAGTTGCAATGGTGAGCCTGGGTATCTTGCCACTGAGCTCATCAGCAGAAGCATCCTAATGCTCAGTCTTGAGGATGGAGCCCAGGGACCCTGAGTTTATTTGCAACTCTTTGCTAATATCAGCTATCTTCTAATTTTTAAAAGAAAAATATGAGATTTGGCTGATTCCAAAGCCCAATTCCAAATCAGCTCAGGACTCCTGGCTCCATTTTCAAGACTGAGCACTTGCATATTTCTCCAAAATCAAAAAATGGTTCATGTCTCCCGTTCCTGAGCTCATTCCAGCATCACTAAACCCCATCACACTCCAAAGTACATTGCTCTGAACTGTGATCCCCAGGTCTGCTGTGAGAGCTTGAGCTTGAGCTGATCTAAGCCCAGCCAAGCCTTTCCACTATCTGCTGGCTGTGGTGGCGGCAGCAGCAGCACCAGGAAGCCTCAGTAAGCTTCATGATCCTTCATGGATCCAAGGATCAAATGTCCTTATATTCCAGGTACTACTGACCAGGCTCACAGGTGCATCCCATGTGTGAGATGTAGGACATTCCAACTGAATACTCAGGCATCCTGAAAACCACATATCCCAGGAACCTTTATATGTCATTTTATGCATTCAATGTCCTTCCTTTTCTGGGAAATACCACTGTAGCCAAGGTTTCTGAGCTGGAGAAATTTGCATTTTGAATGAACTTGGTAAACTCTAACTTGAGCAACATCTCCAGTTTCAATTGCACAACTGTTTTAGGAAGGACGAAGATCCAGTTGGACAGGAAATGGAATGCCACCTGAAGTAGGAAAGGTATAAATAAATAAACAGTTTTCCTTGACAACTCCTTTATTTCAAATCAGCTAATTAGTCCTTACATTCAAATAGTTTGTCAAGCAAGATTCAAATGGAAACTGAAGCTCCTTGGATGCCTTTGGACCAATCACTGACTCTCAACCTAACCTACCATGTAGTAGCCATGTGCAAATCAGCAAAACCCAAACTCAGCAAAATTCTCTCAACTCCATTTCTGCAACCATTTTGACTTGTCAGTATCAATTTAAAAGCTTTTCACACAAAAGTTTGTGCATATTTCCCCAAATCTGTTCATCAGCTGCGTGCAGCTTTGAACGGTATGCATTATTCCCAATTGATTAAAGCATTGTGTGTATTTTTCAAGAGTATGCATGCTGGGTTGGTTTGGTTTGGCTTGGTTTGTTTTTTGGTCTGCAAATCCCTGGCAAGCTTGGAAAAGCCTGGACTTCCTGAAGATCACACCTAAGCCTGTGTTAGATTCAGAAAGTGCCAACTGGGTAAATCTGGCTTAAACACAAATGGAAACACATTTCTCATACATCTCTACCTCACAGGATTCTTATGCCAATGAAAAGGAGAGGAGAATTATTGATTAACCAGAAGGTAGGTGAGGTGTCCTTTAATTTTTAGTAAGAGGCTCAATCAAATGAGTATTTGACAGAACCAAACCATGGCTGTGAAATTAGATTCCAAAGCACAACATGAACCCTCTGTCATGCTTAGTGCAACATTTTCTGAACTCGCTGGGTCTTAGGCTCATAAATGTATGTATGAGAATCTTGAAAAGTTCAGAGGTATTCTTTGCTGTCCACATAATATCACATATTAGTGTTCACATCTTGCCATGTCTATGAGTAACTAAGAAAGAAACATCTCTTCCAACTTCTCTTCCTCTTGAGGAAAGGATGGATCTGGCAAGGATGAATGGGGGTTGGATCAGTGTGTTATATTTTGGTCTTTCAGGTCGGTTTGCTCACTGTAGGTTAATCCAGAAAATGATTTCCAGAGAGATAGCAATGCTAGTCTGCATCCACAACAGCAGCAAAGAGTCTCGTGGCATCTCCAAGACGAATGGCACAATAAGCCTGCCCATAACCCTTGAAATTGGAGGGTTAAGAGCATCGTATGCATGGCAAGAGAAGCTCTGACGCTCCTTCCACCATGCAAAACTCAGCACTCCAGGTTGTTTAAGAATGAAGGAACATACAAAGCAGTCTTAGACAGAGTCAGACTGATCAATCCTTCTAGCTTGTCAACAACAGTGGCAGGCAAGAAGGTGCTGTCCAGACATTTTCAATTACAATTCACAGAACAGCTGTCTATTGGCCATACTGGCTGAGGCTGATGGAAGCTGCAGTCCCAGACATCCAGATTGCCTGCTTCTGAAGTTCTGGCTCCAGCTTTTGAAGGACCTGTGGACAAGAGACTTCAACCCAACCTCTCATGAACCTCCAGCCCATGCCCTGAAACATCTCTCCTTATGTTGTGCTTTTGAAATCTGATCACACTTCTCCTCTGTACTACATTTGTGGGTATATTTATTCAGCATCCACTAAATCCCAGGTTTTCCTCAAAAGACAGCTGTTAATTATGCTTCATCATTTTGGCTCAGATTGGGAATGTTTAGTTAGGAAGCTAGAAATAAATGTTAAACACAGAGCATGGATGTGGTTACTTCAAAATGGCGAGCACTTGAAACAGACACATTGTTACGAAATCAAACCACTGTGCCTTGATTTTCTTACCATAAGTAGCTATTTGAGTTTTATCCTTCCAGGCAAGTTCTGTCTGGTCTATCAGTACCCAGAAGGTTGATGTGGGAACCAGAACTGTGGTTGAGATAATGGTGTTACGTTCAACCACAAATGATTTGATGCTGGTTATCCTTCTGTGATCCTTTTGTCAATGCTGCGCCTTTGATTGCGAGACATCACTCAGCGAAAGGGTCTTTCCTAGCCTGGCCTGGAGATTCTGGGGTTTGATCTTTGGTTTGTTTGTCTGTCTAACATGCTCTCTGCCACTGAGGTCTTCTTGGGTTGTGTGCAAGATAGAGCCAGCTCCTGGCTTGACACTCAAGCAGTCAACATGCAAAGCTGTTTCCAATTCTGGCAAAGTTAAAAGGATCAGCTCTGCTAAGGAAAGTGATCATGCATCTTCAAACCACACAACCTTGGCCCAAATTCTTTCTTTTTGCGAGCAGAGGCAATTCTTGTTCTGCTTACAGGTTAAGCGGGGAAAATGCCTGAACTCAAAGTGCTGAGTAGAAGTAAAATGCAGAAGAAAACTTTGCTCTGGACTAACAGATACAGGCTAAGGAAAGGCTGAGAACAGCTGATTAGAAATAGTTAGCCCTCTTTATAGAACTGCAATTCTCATGGTCCCCTTATGGGAGAAAATAATCTTTGAGTTATTACAGCTTAAGTCTATAATGCAAATATCTGAGGCTGCCTGTTGAGCCTTGATGGGTTCCATGCAAATAATACTATATTTAAGGGGACAGTGCACAGTTGAAGCCCACCGTGCAAATACAACACAACACCAGAGTTCCCAGGCAATACAGTTGTTCCTCATTCTGTAATTAACTGGAGCCTTAAGTGGGGGGAAATAGCTGCACTTCTCAGCTACTTGGTCTCAGCCTTTTTAGCTGGCTTTGATTCCCTACCCCACCCCACCCTAAGATAATATTTGTTGCATTCTTAACAGGAGGCAGGAGAAAACCCATTTCAGATGATTCATAATTCCCCCCTGCATTTCAGAATATTTTCTTCTTTGCAGCAGTAACACATTGATCAGGAAAGCAACTCCTTGACATCAGCCTTTTGTTTCCCTGATGCCTGATAGTATCCTGCCAAGCTTTATTGTATGAGATGCACAGATGGCCAGTGTTTCACGCAGCCCAATAACAGTAGCAAGACTTTAGGGAACCTGTGCTTTATTCGATCCTATCTGCCCCCAGCCCCTCCTTAGGACTTTGTCTGCATTTGAAGCTAAAGGTTACAAGTTTGATCCATCCAGTTTTGAAATGCCATGTTCAGCCATTGTCACCAAACCATCCCAAATTAGCAATTTCCTGGATCAATGTTACAATAAGAAAGAAAGTTAGCTGTGTTGGATCACCAGGGAAGAAGAAGGATTCAACCTCCCACTGAAGAGTTGAGAGAACGCAAAAGTTGGCACATTTTTGGATAATCCAAAGAAAGGCATTTCCCAATTGTGAAATCTGGTGCTGCAGTGGATTGGATTCAGGACATCCGAATATAGCCAGCCTTTGGCACAAACAGCACAGTTACTCAATGGAACAACCTGTCCGATAACAGTCTGTGCATTGCAGCAGAATCTGTGCACTCAGTGCCAGCTCCAAGTCCGAAGCAGGGAGGCAGCAGGAGGGGAAGCACATGTGGGGAAAAAGCTTG